ACCTCACTGACTTTAGGCCTAAATCGAAGGAAGCCATAAAGGGAAGAATCGAAGGGTTTTTTTGCCTAGATAGAAGCATTCATTTTTATTTCTTTCATTCTTGTTTTGTCTTTACATTTTCATGCTATTCAATATGGTTGTAATAGTGTAGGATTTATTTTCTGCATTTTTATTGCTTTTGTACAAATGTTAGTAATTGGGATGTATGGCAAGATAAAAACAAACAAGTAGACAACTTAAAATTCAAAGACAAAATGCATGCAAATTTTGTACCCCAAAATTTGCCCTTTCATTTATCAAGATTTCCCCTCACAAGACTCTTTGGATTCAAGACAGGAATAGGGTTTGCTCAGCTCAAGACATCCCCTTGCACTGATGACCTGAAATTAGGATTTGAGTTTGCACAAGGATTTTTGGACTTTCAATGCCTCATGTTACTTTCATGCTTCATGTTGGATCTCTAAGATTGCTCATACCAAGTTTCAAGCTTTGAATCAAATTTTTGCCCAGTCAATTGGACAGTTGACCTAAAAATCAACTGTATTGGGGGAAAAGTCAATTGTGGCCAATTTACAGTCAAACCTCATAATTCTTGATCCACATCAACATTATAGACTCATATGAACCATTTTATAAAGTTTGGACCACAACTCCTCAAGAAATTTGATCAGATCATCAAAAGGGCAAAATGGTCATTTTTAGGGTTTTGACTATATAAGGGCAATTTCTGATTTTTCACCTAGCCAATGGCAAATTGGGTTCAAGCATGGATTCAAGGACTCAATGGCATTATCTTGACCTAATCACAAGGTTCAAAAGATCTCAAATGCATTGGATTGACAAATGAATTTTCCAGTCAACTGATCAAAAATCAACTGTACACTGAAAAGTCAAACTTTGACTTTTTGGTCAAAATCAAGTTCCAAGGGTCATTTTTCATCAAGATGGGTCAAAAAATGAAACTTGTTCACCAAGAAACCTAATTTTGAAAATTAGGGTTTAAAATGGAAAATTTTCATAACTTAGAAATTTTTATGAAAATTTCTTATTTTTTCCAACTTTTCCCAACTTTTTCACCATGATGCTTTTGGATTCAAACAAACCCTCCAACATAAAAGTTGTATTCCTCTACAAAATCTACAACTTTTATTCACAAAGTTTTCCCAAAAGATGCTTGGATCTCAAGTTATGATTTTGTGAACAAGGGTCCATGAAACTTTTAACTTAGTGAAATTTTGCCCCAGTTTAGGCAGGATTTTGACCTATCTTCATGGAAATATTTCACATAGTTCCAAGTGTAATCTCAAAATTCATTTCAAAGATGGATTGTAGATCATGTTACAAGCTTTCCAAAATGTCCAAGAACTCTTCAAAATCATTTGTGGTTAGGGAGAATCGAAGGTTTGAAAATGGGAAATTATCACTTTTGGCTAAGGCATTTTGCACATTGATACAAGTTGCAAATTCTGTCCAAACATGCTTGTACTTGTTTTACAGGCCTTAAACCTCTTCACACTCATAAATTAAATGCAAACACATTGGATTAAGGCTTTATTCTGATCTATGGAACATTACACATTGAATTAATCCATTATTGGCAAAAAGTTAACAATGCCATTTACATAAAGCACAACTTTTGCAAATTTGTTTCTCTTGAGCATTGGACCAAGCCTTTTGCTGCAAACAAAGTTCCTTAATATCAGGAAAAGTACACCAACTATATGCATGCTTGGAGCTAGCCTGTACAGGCCATAACATTGTCAAAATCACCTTTTACTTCAAAACCAAGCAATTGTGCAAAAGGTCAACAACTCTTCAATCTGATATAACCAAGTGTGGTATTCATTTCAAATAAGTTTTACACATTTCCTAAGGTCAGAAACACGAGCCCTAAGCCTCTCAAACACCCTCTAACATAAAAACACCAAGTTCTTGTCAAAACAGGGTAGGTTCTGCAGATTGACTTCCAAAACAAAATCCACTCATGCGTTTTGCTTGCAACCAGTTCCAACACACTCCATACAACATACCTAAAATATCCCAACCATTCCCAAGCCACTGTAACTCCATTTACGCACTTCACCATTTTCAAATTCTGAGTTTGCAGGTTGAGTTCTACAAGAAGTTTTAGACCATTTCAAAGCAAGCCAAGCATTGGGAAAGATCAAGGGAACATCAAGCAAGCTCAAAAGAACCTCAGGCCTCACTGAAAGTTGCTGCATTGCCATACTCGAGCTTGACTGAAACAGGTAAATTTCAAACTTCTATCTCTCTATTTAGGAATCATTAGGCTTAGGTATGTGAAGCAAAAATGTAGTCCCCATTGTCCTTGAGTTGTACATATGCATAGAATTCATTTATGTTAACTGAGCTAGGAGTATTTAATAGTTGAACTTTATGAAAAAACTAGGTCAAGATTTAGGGCTAGTGAAATTCTCTCTGGTCTTTGAGAGTTAGATTAAGTTTTTTACATGGTTAGAATCGTATGATCAAGAGCTATAACTTTCATGTTGCAAGTTTTTGTTTTTAAGCACAAATGCAGGAGTTACCAGTTTGAACAAGAAACGCGCATTTTGCTTCTGTCTCAAGGACAGGGATGAAGGAAATGGTCTGGGCTTGCTTGCCTTGCTTTTGACACCCCCTGCTTACTCTTTGCACCCCATTGGCCCATTGCTTTTATTTTTCATATTTTCCATTTTTATTTTCATTTTATGACTTTATTTATTTTTCTTGAATATTAAAAATCACTAAAAATATTTTCTTAAATTTTCACATTTTATTTTATTTTTTTATTTTATTTTTGGCATAATATTTAGTTTATTAGGTTTAATACATTTATTTTCTTAAATAAAAACTTATAATTAATACAAAAATATTATTTATTTTTATTTTTATTATTTATACATATAAAATAATATTTTCTCACATATTTTATTTTTTAAAATATTTTTGTGAATATTTTTATTTATTTTCCTTGTACATAAAAAATGAATAAATAATAACATAATATATTTTCTTTTAAAACCAAAACTAGGGTTTTTACCCTTTCCAAAAATAATCTTTTATTTTCTTATTTTTAATACATTAAATAATTTATTTTACATACATAAAATAAATACCAAAAACATTTTTTGAATATTTATATATTGCATATTTAAATAATTGTCAATTTATTATTTGTACAATGAATTCAATTTGGTTGTAATAGTTGAATTAGGTTTTATTTTCTTGCAAATACCCCCCTATTCAAACTTGTATCCCCCATATCAATGTTGTAATATTCGTAGATTTACTTTTATGCACTTTATTGCTTTCAAATATGCCATGATAGTAAATTAGGGTTTGTATGCAAAAAACCAAAATCAAACAAATAGCATGACTAAATACAAGACAAAAATGCATGAAAAATGACAACACAATACACACAAGCATCTCTAGGGTTTCACCCACTTGTTGCCTTAAAAAACATGGCCATGGTATGCATGTTAGGTATCTTGGCAAAACAAAAACAAAACAAAAGATCATAGTCCCTCGATGACGCTATCTTGGTTGCCTATACAAAAATGATCTAGTCCCTCAAAAAACTTGCTAAGATACTTGGCAACATTGTTATCATGGCCATATGATGACCCACGCCTGTCCCGTTTAACATCCAAGCACAAGGTTGTTCCCCAAAATACAATGGTAAAACAACAATGTAAAAGGGTTAAAAATGTGTAGGAAAGATCTTTGAGTTAGGGTAGACAACTCCTAGTTACTTGATCTCTTGCAAATCATCCTTGTTATTTTCAAAAAAACACATACACAATTTCAAAAATAATTTCCCAAAACAAACTTTCAAACATTGAAACATTTTTCAAAAGACAAACACCTTTGTATACATTCAAACAAGAATCATTACAAAGGTTGCCTAGACAAAAAGTCTCTTTTCAAAATATTTTCAAAACCACACACACAAAAGCACCATTTCAAACAATTGAAAATCAAAAGCAAGTGATCTAAACAAGTAACTAAGAGCCCATGGAAAACCATGGATGAAAAGGGTGCTAGCACCTTCCCTTTTCATAACCTACCCCCCGAACCCAAGAAAACATCTCAAAGGTCTTTCCTGTGCTTTTTGACCTTTCCTTTGGATAAAATAAAAAGTCGGTGGCGACTTTTGCTAAACCAAAACATTTGCGAACACAAACACAAAACCTCAAGTCAGCTCTCCCACCGTATCACACAAATCAAACACAATATTCACACATGCACCCTTAGGGTAATCTCACTTGTTGCCTCGGAGAAATAGTCATGTCCCTCGAATATGGGTGTTTTAGCAAAGACCCTCGATAAAAGATCCTAGTCCCTTGATGACCCTCAATGTTGCCTTCGGTAAACGATCTAGTCCCTAAATGACATTGCTAAAACGTCCCATAGGTTGCCTACTATGATTATACAAACGTCCCACGCCCGTCCCTTCATATTCAATGATGAGGTTTCTTACCAAATCAATGGATGCTCCTAGTTGCTCGCTTGCTCACAACAAAAAAATATTTTATACACCAATACTTTCATTTGAAACATTTTCAAGAGACAAAGCTTTTGTGCGCGTTCTTATAGAAACGAGAATCATTACAAAAGACACTTTTCAAAATCACTTTCAAAAAACACATTCCACAAACACCTCTTTGAACTATTTTTCAAAACTAACACTTTATACGCGTTCTTATAGAAACGAGAACCATTACAAAGAAGTTTTCAAAATATTTTCAAAACCCACACCACAAGCACATTTTCAAACAAAATCAAGTGATCTAGCAAGAAACTAAGAGCTCGTAGATAACTACGGATGGAAAGGGTGCTAACACCTTCCCTTTTCATAACCTACCCTCCGAACTCAAGAAATAATCTCGAAAGGTCTTTCCTGTTCTTTTCAACCTTTCCTTTTGGATAAAAGAAAAGTCGGTGGCGACTCTTGCTATCCGCAATAATTGCAAACAAACGCAAAACACTCCAATTCAGTTCTCCCACCGTGTTACACCATGAACTAGATCATAATCATTCTCAAGGAGTCTATAAGAAGTGATCCCATCATTTTTTTTCATTAGGTCCGGGTAGAGACAAAGATCTTGAGCGACTGATCCGACAGAAAAACTCAAAAGATAAATAAGTATGGTTAATTTTTTCATGCTTGTTCCAAGTTGGAAGTACCATTTGTACAAATAAGAATCCCCCTCTACACACGATTTCTTCTACATATAGATAGATATAGGATCGATAGAGCAATTACTTAGAAGTAGATTTTGTGAAACAACCCTCCCTATCTGATAAAAAAGGATCCCATGATCCTGAATCACTCTTATCTGAGATCTAAAATCCCAAGTTTGTCTATGAACAGCAGATCTAATTATATTAGTTTCTATAATAGATTTCTTTTGTATAATACTAATCGATAGCGCTTCATTAGTAAGTGCTACAAGATCTCGTACATTAGAACCCAAAGTTATATACCCCAATCCATTAGTATCGAATATTTTCTTTTCCAAGTGAAATCCCCTAGTACATGAAAGAGTAAAAAGTGTTTTCTTTGTTGTGGAATAAGAAGCCTTTGTATCTTAATGCATGTATTTAATTTATTCGGAGCTATTAATGCAGGGTCTAATTTTTTTGGAATATGAGTAGAAGCAATAACTAGAATATTTCTAGTAGAACCTTTTTCTGAATCGCTGGAAAGAGAGTTCACTAATATACCCAGCAATAAGTCATTCGACTCATTCCTATCCAGATCATGAATGTTTGGAATCCAAATTATGCAAGGAGACATTGCTTTTTCTAATTTGAATTGAAGCGTGAGACAAAACCAGTCTATTTCCATCAGATTGCTAGACACCGGATCCTCCATACTTAGAAACTTAACCTGGCTATCAAGCTTACGGTCGAGATCGTAACTATCATCCCTTTCATAATTCTCAGAATTATAGTAACTACCCTCGTTATTAGGTAAAAGACTGTAAATGGTACCCTCTCTTTCACCAAATATGACATCCTCACTATCATCACTATCAAAACCCTTAGGAAAGTTATCCAGGAACTTGTTTACAAATACTGTAATAAAAGGAACATAGGTGGTTATCGTTAGATATTTGAGCAAATAGAATCGTCCAGTTCCTATCGAACCTATCACTAAAATACCCCTAGCAGGGGATAGGGCTAAGCGTAGCGAAAAGGGTTTCCCATGAGATGAGAAATCCATACAACTAGCCCCACACGAGATTTCTGAATAAGTGATTATCTGATAATGAGCGAGGAATACCCGTCTTTCTGCTAAGCAGTATGTATTGAACTCATAATTCATCAGGTCCATTTTATGAATGTCAATTAAATATCATAAGTAAATTGTTCCTGGTTGCTTAATCATTTGATAACCAGAGTTATTCTTTGATAACTGATCACTATTAGTCAGACTCAATAAAATTTGATCCAACCTTTTTTCTCTCGTTAAGGTAGAGAACTGAACCAAGAATTCTCTTCTTTATCAGCAATGAAATCACTAGTCGAGATCCAGGATTCTATTTTATCATCAATCCAATTACTATTCATGTTTTTTATTTTCCTTATTGTGATACGGTGGGAGAACTCACTTGGTTGTTTTGCGTTTTATCGCAAATGTTGCGGTTAGCAAGAGTCACCACCGACTTTTCTTTTATCCGAAAGGAAAGGCTAAAAAGAACAGGAAAGACCTTTGAGATTATTTCTTGAGTTCGGGGGGTAGATTATGAAAAGGGAAGGTGTTAGCACCCTTTTCATCTATAGTTATCTATGGGCTCTTAGTTGCTTACTAGATCACTTGCTTTTGTTTGAAAATGTGCTTTGTGTGGTTTTTTGAAAGTATTTTAAAAAGGCGCCATCGTTTAGGCAAACTTTGTAATAGTTCTCGTTCGTAAGAACGTATACAAAGTGTTGAGCTTTTGAAAATGTTTCAAGTTTAGAAGATGTTTTAAAAGTGTTTTTGAAAGTGTTGGCGCTTGTTTTGAAAATAAGCAAGAGTATTTGATTTGAAATTGAGCAAGCAACTAGGAACAATCTACCTACTCAAAAGTCTTAGTTCATTTCTTCCTTTCCTTTGATATTGCTTTATTACCATTGATTTGGTAAAAAGCCCTATCTTTGGATGTAAAGTGAGGGGGATGGGTCATCATATAACCATGATAGAAATATTGTGAAATATCTTAGCAATTCTCTTTAAGGGACTAAGATCATTTTGGAAGGCAACATTTGATAGCGTCATCGAGGGACCATGATCTTGTATTTTTTATTGCTTTTTGCTAAGATACCCCACATGCATAACATGGCCATTTTTGTAAGGCAACAAAGTGGAATTACCCTAACGGTGCAAGTGTGCAAATGTGTTGGATTTACATGCTTGTTTATCTTGAATTAGGGTTTGCTAACTTGTTGATTTTATCTTTCCATACAAACCCTAATTTACTAGCATTTATATAAAGCGATAAATTGCAGAAAGTAAAATTACTAAGCTATTACATCATTAGAGGAGGGGGTATAGAAATTTACAAATGGGGAATTTTGCAAGAAAATTAATCTAATTAACAATTACAACCATATTGAATAAATGTACAAGAAAATAAATAATAATGTACAAATACAAATGGATAAAAATGATTTTTGTTTGGATTTTTATGAAGGGTTTAAACCTAATTAAGAGAATGGTTAATAAAAAATTAAACAAAATTAAAACCTAAGAATAAAAGGTTAAAAATGATTTTTTAGGGTTTTTTAAGAAAAAGTTTTAAATTAATAATAATAATGTGAAAATTAATTAATAAAAAAGAAATCTAAGTTCTAAATTAATTTTAATTTACAAGAAAATAATATAATAATTAATCTAAGTCTAAACATTAATTATTGTTAAAAAAAAGGAAATTAATTTGTTAAAAGAAAATATTTAGGTCTTTTGTTTTATGAATAAAAATAAAATATTAATGAACATTTTTTAATATGTAAATAAATAAAATATATTTTTGGATTTTTGTTAATAAAAATGATAATGATAATAATAATAATCATAATAAAAATAATAAAAGTAATATGAAAAATGAAAATAAAATAGAGAAAAAGAAAATGAAATAATAGAAATAAAAGGTCAGGGGTGCAAAAATGAGACTGGGGTATGAAGAAGAAGAAAAAAAGCCAGGCCCAATGTTGGAGGCCCAGCGCTGCAAACAAAATAAAAAAGGAAGTGAGAAATAGGCAAAAGGGTACCACTGGGGCTCGAACCCATGTCCCTCAGGTTACAGACGCGCGATTTAACCACTGGTGTGGTGATACATCCGTTAACTTAAACAAAACAATAAATATATGATACAAGTTTTGCCCTGACTGTACTTCGTCTTCAACCTCCAACCAAAGGATTTGTAACTTATTCGTTTCTCATCCATTCACAAAACTTCCAACATCAAACTTGTTAGAAATTTCCTCACGATTCTGAATATGTAAACAACTTAATCTAATTCTCAAAGATGAGCATGATGTAAAATCAAGCTTCTCAAATGAGCTTTTGTTTTGATGAAGAAAAACCATGATTGACAAAGAAGACAAAGATTTATGATCAAGCTCAAAGCATCTAAGGACAAAATCTTCAGTTCAAAACTCTCACCAACTTTCAAGGTATAATAATATTACTTACTTTGATCTTAAGATATAGATTCTAATTGATGAAAAAGAAATGTTTAAAAAATCATTACTCAAGTTTTTCAAAGTTAAAATTTCATTTTTCACTTGAGTGCAATCGATTTGCATTTTAGTGCAATCGATTGAATGCTCCAATTTGTCAGATCTTTTGCTTCTGTTTCTTTGTGCAATCGATTTACATTGCTTGTGCAATCGATTGCATACTTAAAATTTTCAAAATGTTCGCTTATGTTTCTCAGTGCAATCGATTTACATTGCTTGTGCAATCTATTGCACGCACATATTTTTTGCTACTGACTTTACATGAAATCGATTTACATTGCTTATGCAATCGATTGAACACTTAAAACTTTTGAAAATATAGCTGTTGAAACCCCGTGCAATTGATTTACACAAAAGGTGCAATCGATTGCATGCTGCACGATTTTGAAAAATAACAGCTTTTCACATGCATGTTCATAATACCTTTTCATTGAAACCTTTCACTCAATCTTGGCATTTGTTCATGATTCATTTTCAGAACTTTATGATGTTTCAAAAGGGTGCTATGAACATATAAATATTCATTTTCAAAATCATTTTCAACACCTCTTCCATAAATATTTTCTGAATTTTCAAAATACAAACTCAAGCATTCCTTCTCTTTCATGCTTAAGTTTTCTGCACATTTTCATACATTATCAAACAGAAAACTTTGAGCAATTATATCTTGAGTCATTGTACAATATTATCATTGGATGAGAAGATCATACATTGTTAAATCACTCTAAGTGATCAATACTACTCAACTCACTCAAACTCAAATATTGATAGTTACTTACTTATTTTTCCAGGATTGTTGGAAATAAGTTTAAGTGTTTTTGAAATCTTGTATTTCTAGGTTTGTTGGATACAAGTGTAGTCACTTTGAGAGGATTTTTCTCATAGTTGACATAGTGAAAATCCAAGAGGACTGTTCTTGGTTGTTTGATAGTTCTTGTTTAACTTTGCCACAATAAGGAAATCTCTTTCATGTTTAAAGGGGACTGGAGTACTCTCGTACTGTGAGGGGAACCAGGATATATCGCCTGCGTCTCTTTATTTTTCTGCATTTTAAGCTTTTCTAAACTCACCTTTAACCAGAAAAATAAGAACCATCCTCACTAAAACCAGAATTTTTTAAAGTACCTAATTCACCCCCCCCCCCCTCCCCCTCTTAGGCGCACTTTGTACTTACAATTGGTATCAGAGCGGGTTATAGGTAACCTACTCCTAAAAGATCCAGAATGACTTCCCCAAATCAAAATCCCGTTTTCAGAGATGGTTGTAGTAACAACAAGCCTCCTCTATTTTGTGGTGAATATTTTGACTTCTGGAAAAATACGCATGAAGGCACATCTAGAAGCACAAGGAGAAGAAATATGGGATGCCGTCGAGAATGGTCCATTTATCCCTATAACGGTAATCAATGGTGTTGGCTCATCAAAGCCTAAAGCTGCATGGGACGAAGATGATAAGAAGAAGGTTCTTTATTATAAAAAGGCAATGAATCTTCTTCAAGGTGCACTTAGCATGGATGAACTCTTCCGTGTCTCGGCATGCAAAACAGCGAAAGAAATATGGGATACCCTGGTAGAAACTCATGAAGGAACCACTAAAGTTAAAAGATCGAGATTAAATACATTGAGTCAAGAATACGAACTATTCAGAATGCAGCCCCGAGAATCAATCCTCAACTTGCAGAAAAGATTTGTACACTTGACAAATCATTTGAAAGAACTCAGTAAGACTTTAACTAATGATGAACTTAATCTTAAAGTTCTTAGATATTTATCTAGGGAATGGCAACCAAAAGTGACAGCAATATTCGATAAGAAGAATCTATCCACAATGACTTATGCCACTTTATTCGGAAAACTTCAAAAATATGAGAAGGAACTTGCAAGACTTGAAAAGCATGAAATCCAAGTAAAAGATTCAAAAGACATGGCTCTAAATACAAGGATAAAAAATTCATGATAGCAATCAAGAGGATTAATCCACTAGTAGTGAAGATGATGATCTTATCAAGAAGATTGAAAAGGTTCTACAAAAAGAAAGAAAAAGGGAAGCACCAATAAGGAATGTTATATGCTTTAAATGTGGAGAAAAGGGACATGTTAAAAGTGAATGTCCTACACTTGAAAAGAAGAAGAAATATTTCAAGAGAAATAAAGATAAGTCAAAGAAAGCATATATAGCATGGGAAAGTTCATCTTCCGATTCCAAAAACAATGAAAGTGCAAGTCTAGTGTTGATGGCCTCACACCACTCCGATGATGAAGACAATGAGGTTAGTAATGAATTTTCTCTTTTTGATAGTGATGCACAAGGTGCTATAGATGAACTATTGAATGAATGCAAAATTTTGTATAAAACTATTTCATCACAAAAGAAACAAATTTCATCCTTAGAAGAAAAATATGATTCTATGGAAAAAGATTTCAAAGAAGAAAAACAAAAATCAAGTGATGAACAAAAACATAATTTTGTATGCAAAAATTGTGATTCACTCTCTTTCCAAATTGTCCAATTAAAAAGAGTCATTGAAAGATATGAAAAAGGCCAAATTGGATTGGAAGGTGTTCTTAGCCAACAAAGATACTCCAATGATAAAAGTGGACTTGGATATTCAAA